TAAACGTGTCGATGTGGACAGAGACGATAATATAATCATAGGCGAAACAGGATACATTGGAACACCCGGTCTTTACGAGCTAATATTCAAAAGAATCCCCGACGATTCTGTGTACACCGAGGCTGATATGCAAAAATACAAAAGTATACTATTGGTGACGAATGCTCACAGACGCGGGTACCTCCCGCAAAATCCGATACTCAGTAACAAGGGACACAAATATAAACATATAATCGCGCCCCTAGTATCACATGCGTCGAGTGATAAAGTGGCCGGAAAAGGTTTATATGCATCTCAAGCTATGATGACCTTAAATGACAACAATATCGATTACGTGCATTGGGATGATCCCAACGAGCTGGTGGATCGTTTGCGATTGCTTGACGCTTCGCGCCGGCAACAACGCTCATGACAACGAAATTTTATCGATTATCGAAGATAATCGATCTCCGCGAAGCTGGTCTTATTATAAATTAAACAGCGCTGCACTGACACGAGTCAGTCAGTCAGTCAATCGTCAGCCAGTCGGTACAGCATCGACACAGCTTGCTCCGAAATGTCGACGCATAAGTTTGGAGTATTGCCAGACAGCAATAGTTCTCCGATCGAAGCGCATCAATGGAATGAACATGTTGAAAATTACATACATGAAAATGCTCTTTGTTTAAACGCTGCCAAAGTTTTTGACGCAAAGTCGCGCAAGATACAACATGTAGCGCAACCTGAAGCCGACAGTGACATTGCAACCAAATAATAAGTGGAAGAATATGTTGCAGGTGTGAGATATCATTTAAACAACGTTGCAACCAAACGATATGTACATGAAAATGCCCTTTGTCTAACCGCCAATAGTAAAGGTCGTGATGGCAAATGTTTCGATGCAAAAATGCATGCGATACATAATGTACCGCAGCCGGAAGCCTTCAATGACGCTGCGCACAAATATTATGTGGATGAGAGTATAAAGTCTGTAAAACTTATGTTGCATGAAAGTAACGTTGAGAAGAAACAGTATATCGATGAGAATATAAATGCTGTAAAGCTTCTACTGCATGAGAGTAACGTTGAGATGAAGCAGCATGTAGATGAGAATGTTAAAAAATTGAAGGATTGGCTGGAAGACTACCGGAAAAAAACATACAGAGCATAAATAGCATTCATGAGAACATAGACCAAATTTTAGACTGGACACGCTCAGAGATAAAGAAATCAGCGGAAATATAAAAGTAGAATATATTTTTACCTGTGTGTCCCCTTCGCTTTCGAACTCGAAAAGTTAAGTTGGGTTTTGTTACAACGAATCGGAGATCGCAGGGAAGAGAAAAGAGGTGGGGAGAAAGGAATATACAACATTTTTATAAAATAAATTCACATTTTATTTTTGAAGTTACATTCGTAGTTTTGCAAACACTCGTAGCATTCTGCGTTCGTTACAATTTCGTGTATAATTTCATTTAAATGAATCGTGGTTAATTCACGGAATACAATATTAAAATACGCGTCTAAAAATTGTAAATTTTTTATTTGACGCCGTACGTTTTCCTCGATTTCTCGATATTTATCAGCGAGCGTCTGTTTCACAAAATCTTCGTTTACACCTTTCTTCGCAAGATTAAGTTCTATTTCGGATATTAAAATATATTTACAATTACTCACAAGAGCTGCAACCGCTTGTAAGTGTTCATATCTAGCATCGATACATTTCGCGACAGTTTCCAGACCATCGAAAGATGTCTTCTGCATTACAACATTCTCCGTGTATAGCTTACGCTTCTTCAACGGCGACTGCTTCAAATGTGTAGAGTCCTCCGATGCCTTCTTCGCAGACTCGCTTTCGTCCGCCATTTTCCCTCGCTGGCTCACCATTATAGCCCGTGCACCGTACGTTGAGGTAAAGCTGATGGCGATATTGTTGATGATGATAGGGGCTGGCATATTCTTATTTTCCCCGCACAAATAAGAATTTGCAGAGGGTATAATGTCTTTAAATTTCTCCCACGTATTCAAATCAAGGAGAATTCCTGAAGACGTGTTTCCCATTATCCTGATCGATGGCTCAAATGGTCCCATGTCGTACATGGTACGCAACCCAACTTGCATCCTCTTAGTGTCCGAATTGTTGAGAGCGTAAGTCGTGCATAGAAGCATGTTACGCTCGTTTCCCACTTCTGTAGAGAGGCTGTTCGACGTCTTCTTAAGATCGACGTTCACGTTAGCGGCGGACATTTTTCTTGCAAGAACTTGTAAATAACTTGTAAAAAACTTGTAAATAACGAAAACTAGCTATGCTGCGAGTAAAAGCAACGAAGCTCGAATGCTTCACCAGTCTCAACACCGTATGTCTTTCCCCGTAGAGAATAGAAAAAGTAGTGAGGATGGTGATGCGCAGACGTAAAAGGTCTACAACTACTTATCTTTTTCAAAATGATAAGATATAGTTTTTATATTTACTTAGAATGGAGAGATAGACTACTATATCAATACCATAATTTTAGACTAGACATGCTCAGAGATAAAGAAATCAGGGGAAATATTAGGTGTAGTAAAAAGAAATCCATTATTTTTGCATGAAATTGAAGGCTTTAATTATCATAGTTAGAATGATCCGATTTAGGTCAAATATGCGCCGTTTTGTTCGATAACTTGTTGCCATTTTGAAGGTAATTTCATTATGCCTCTCTCATAGAAGCCCTCGTCCCTATTGGCAAAAAATTGAGACAGTCGATTTTCACAAGCCTCTCTTGAAGCGAATTTTTCACCAGAAGAATTGTTCACCATGGACAGGAACAGATGGTAATCACTTGGTGCCAGGTTGGGACTATAAGGTGGATGCATAAGAACCTCCCAACCAAGCTCCCGGAGCTTCTAACGAGTCACTATCGATGTGTGTGGCCTGGTGTTGTCCTGATGGAACACAATTCCTCTCCTATTGGCCAAAGCTGGCCGCTTCTGGGCGATTGCTTTCTTCAGACGGTCCAATTGTTGACAGTACAGTTCCGAGTTAAGAGTTTTGCCGTAGGGGAGCAGCTCATAGTAGATAATTCCCTGCCAATCCCACCAAACACACAGCAAAACCTTCCTGGTCGTCAATCCTGGCTTGGCCACCGTTTCCGCCGGCTCACCGCGATTCGACCACGACCGTTTTCGCTTTACGTTGTCATAAGTGATCCACTTTTCATCACCAGTGACCAGCCGCTTCAGAAATGGGTCGATTTTGTTGCGATTCAGCAGTGATTCGCAGATGGAAATTCGGTCCATGAGGTTTTTTTGCGTTAACTCGTGTGGCACCCATACATCGAGCTTCTTTTTGTATCCAGCCTTATTCAAATGGTTCCAAACGGTTTTTTGTGCAATCTTTAGCTCTTGGGCAATCGAAACAGTGCTTACATGACGGTCGGACTCGACAATGTCCATGATTTTATCGATATTTTCGACAATTGGCTTTCCAATGCGTGGTGCATCTTTGACATCGAAATTACCGGAACGGAATCGACGAAACCAAAATTGCGCGTGATTGGCTGTTACAGTATCAGGACCATAAACACTATTCATATTTTCAGCCGCCTGGCTTGCGTTTTTGCTTTTATCGAAGAAAAACTGTAAAATAGCGTATTTTCTCTTTGCTAGTGTCCATCTTTGACGCGCGCTCAAACAAAACTGAGTCAACTAATCACAAAACTGTCAGTAAAGTTTTTTTAGTACGAAATCTCATCTTTCTAACGCCATCTAGTGGAACCCGATCGGACTTATAGAACGCGGGATACAGATAACTAAAGCCATCTATTGGAAAAATAATGGATTTCTTTTTACTACACCTGATATAAAAGTAGAATATTATAGTTAAATTGACATATAGTATCAACATAGAGAGAGACGGATCATCACAAACTGCAATGGCGAAGCAATCATCAAAATTTAACAAAAAGAAGAAAAGTTCAGAGAAGCAGTTCATCGGTAACGAAAAGCATCGGTTGGTGGAGGAGTTGCACGCTCCAGCGAGAAGATACTTTCCCCGTAGACGCGTCATAGTGCGCGGATACGATGATCTTTGGCAAATTGACTTGGTAGAGATGCGTCCTTACTCGCGATTCAATAGAGGCTACCACTATATACTCACTGTTATCGATGTGTTGAGCAAATATGCGTGGGCTATACCGATGAAGAGCAAAAGCGGTAAAGAAGCAGTGGCAGTGTTCGCCAGGATATTTCAAGAATCTGGAAGATGTCCGAAAAATTTGCAAACGGACCAGGGAAAAGAATTTTATAATGCGGATCTGCAGAAACTCCTTAAAAAACACGGTATCAATCATTATTCTACGTACTCGGTAATGAAGGCATCTGTTGTGGAACGATTCAACCGCACGTTAAAGAACGACATGTGGAAAATGTTTACGTTAAATGGAACATACAAATGGATCGACTCGTTACCATGCCTTATCATAGAGTACAACACACGGAAACATCGAACTATCGACATGCGTCCTATCGATGTGACACCTGAAATCGCCAATAAGCTCCTACACACAGTCTACAACAACGTAAAGATCGCTGCGCCTGCGAGATTCAAAGTGGGTGATCTGGTACGCGTGAGCAAATTCAAAACCATCTTTGAAAAAGGCTATACACCGAATTGGACAACCGAAGTATTTAAAATCGTCAAAGTGCAGACAACTAATCCAGCGACCTATCTGCTTGAGGATTCTCGCGGAAAGTCTATTGCCGGAGGATTTTACGAATACGAACTGCATCGCGCTGCTAATCCTGACGTTTATCTCGTGGAAAAGGTGTTGCGAAAAAGCGGCGACAAGGTTTTAGTGAAATGGTTGGGATTTGATGATTCGCACAACTCTTGGATACACCAAGAAAATGTATTGTAACCAATTCTTTGTTATAAACACTTTTTTATTACAATATCCTATTATAAACAGCTTGTAATAAATCATCTTTTATTATAGTTAACAATATTTCTTACAAACAAATATATGTACAATGATCGCTTTTCATTTTACAATATACATGTATGCACAATGATCGCTTTTTAGTTTACAATTGTATCCTGTAATGTCCCCATGGTAAAATGTCTGTTGAGTTCGGTACGATATACCGCTTGTCATCATACGGACTCAGAGCAGTTTTCAGTTCGGACACGGTGTAGACTTTGTGCATTTTGGATCGTATGCATGACTGACGACGTTGCTTTTCGACCTCATCTCTCAGACACTGCATATAATCATCAAACGTTATAGTTCGCGCTACGACATTGGTCTTCACACCTTTCGCCTTCTTCGTGTCATTTTTGCTGTCTACCTTTAGCGCGTACATCTTTGCTCTGAGCCCGACGAATTCCGTCATAATCGCTCCGTTATTTTCATCTTTCATCAGACCTGGTACCTTTTTGTTGACAAGCGGTATACCGTACTCGTTATCAGCGGGATAATCACTCGTATCAAACTTAGAAATATTACGTTTCATGTGCTCGAAAATATCATCGCATTGGATATGGTAGATTAAATTGTCAGTATCGGTGTACATTACTTTACATTTGTTCTGATACAGAGGAGACATGTACTCGTGATAAAATTCGTATAAGCAGATCTTGGATATGTCAAGGATACACATACCCACATAGATCGGCTTATTGAATTTCACCTCAAGTTTATGTAGCTCAACGGCGATTAAATTTTCCGAAGACACTTCTGCTATGAAAATTTGGTCTCGCAATCATTGCCTCAGCACCGTATCGTCCGTCCCATTTTGTCAATAGTTTTACGTCTACGTGATTGCGAACGTTTTCCATAGTTTTACCGAACACCGCGTTGCTCATCAATTTGTACAAATTTTTCTCGAAATCGTTTGTCCCGCGTGTTCTAAACTGCGTATTAAGTTCGGTATAATCGCGGAGCCATGGAGATTGAGCAAATTTGAGTATGCGGTGTATCTTTCCAATACGAAGACTGTGACGCGTGCACTGTTGCAGGTTGCGATAATGAATCACATAACGCTACTTATCGCATAAGGTTGCGAGAAGCTTGTTCTGCTTTTTGTTTGGCGGTTTGCCCCGCGTCGGACAGAACGGTAGGTCAGTGTGCGCGTCGTGCAGACGTTGCGGATACTCTAAGTCAGAGCTCGGCAAAATGTGCACGCGACGGCCGATTTTCGACTATCTCCGCCCACTGTTATTCCCTTTACCTCGCCGCTCCGCGCGCTGCCCATAAGCCGCTCAAGCCTCAGGAGCGTGTTTCCAATAGTTTTCACGTCACCCATGAAGTACTATTATTGACGCATTTTTTTTAAGTGGTATCCCCAGTAGGTCTCTTCATTTTTCAAAAATGAAGTTTATAAAAAATGGAAAGTGTTCTTCTTTAAGCGACGATTCCTTATCACATCTTATGCGGCTCGCTACATGCAATATCCAAATTGACGTTTCCATTCTTACCAATAAAAGACGCCGAAAATCGAATTGAATATTCTTCATTTAACATATTTTATTTCGCTTCTGTTCAATTAGTTACGGGTTGTTACAGTCATCAGTGGATTCGGCTTACTGGGGATACCACTTAAAAAAAAACGCGTCAACAATAGTACTTCATGGGTGACGTGGAAAACTACTGGAAACACGCTCCTGAGACTCGAGCGGCTTATAGGCAGCGCGCGGAGCGGCGAGGTAAAGGGAATAGCGGTGGGCGGAGATAGTCGAAAATCGGCCGTCGCGTGCACATTTTGCCGAGCTCTGCTCTAAGTCAACCTCCAGAATGTAACCTATAGGTGAATCTAGTGCGATTGATGATATGTCGAAATTCGATACATCATCGACCCATCGAAATTCGGCGTATGGCAACTGTTGACACATTGCCCAACCATACAAGTTATTTACATCGAAGTACATCAAGTATGATGATGGTTGCAATGGATCGTAAGACTGCATGTACTTGTTATTGGCTTTTGCATATCTACCGGAACATTGACTGAGGCCACCGCGAATACTGCGCTCGATGAACATGACCATATCGATATCAGTGAACAGTTCGAAATTAACGCCTGTATTTCAACATAGCATCCCACGTAAAACCAGGCAAAGTGTAATAATACGCGGGATCTAACCCATAACTTTTGATACAACTATTGCGGAAATTTTCAAAAATATCGGCCAGCAACAAGACATCAATCTTCAGATACAAGTCGCTATATTCACCTAAGGTTTGAATGGCGAACCGTTGCCAGATGTTCGTGGCGTGCGCGTAATCGCTCTCAGATACCGTGTCACCCGTCAAGAACTGTAAAATGACTCGTGCGGCGGTAAACACCGATCCTGCAACTTGTCCGCGCAATCAAGGTATTCGTACGGAAAGACCCCCTTTCGCGTCAATAAATCAAAATCCTTGTCGGACAAATTTGAAAATTCGGACCGAACAATTTTTAATTTGTCGTTGTCGAGAAAAGACGCCAATTTATCGAGACTAGTACTAAGAAATTTGTACGAATCGATGAACCGCAATTGTACATAATTTTTCCATTTATTCCTACTATCCGTCATGTTTCCTACAGTCTTTGTAAACGAAATATATTTTTCTTTGGTTATCGGTAGTACAGCGATTGAACCTTCGAACGCGGTTGCTATATCTTTGATGATAAAGTATGAATCATAACCGGATAAGTTGTAAAAGACTACGGGAATGCAATAACTGTCTTGATAATTTAGATTGCAATTCGAATGCGCGGGACCTCTGTACCGTCCAGTCAGGTGGCAATGATCGGGCACGCGTGTATCATCCTTTGCGAATGATTTCTCGCACACATGACACAGCATAGCGTTTTGAAATGTCTCCCACTGTTCTTTCGACAAAGTTTCCATGGGGACATTTGAGGACAAAATATCCTTTACACGATGTGCCAGTTCTTCAAGTTCTTTGACAAACCATGAGATGCAATCCCGATCGCGACGACATCGATACGCGGATAATGACTCGTCGTAGGAACATCGAACGTAATATGCTATACTAAATACGCTATGATGTTGATACGCATACGAACTCGTTTGTTCTTCCCTCGGTGTCTTCTTCAGAATGCATTCCAAGTCGGCGTAAACTATAAACGGGATCCGCTCCTTCCTGCAGTAGTTGGTGAAGCTGAGCCATTTGTTGTCATCGTTTGGCAAGATGATGGCACAGTTATTCATATTTTGACAGTCGACGGTATGGTTCTCCAGCTTCTCGCTCGAGCTGAAGTAATGTAGACATCTGGAAAAACATTATTTGTTATTAGTATATGTCACATTATACATTGCGTTCTTAGTGTATATTTACCGGTCGCAAATATGTTTTTTGTGTTCCTTTTTGCTCAGTTGTGAACTGACGAATCGGGACAAATTCTTGATCCACGCGAAGTGCCCAGCGTTATCATCATCTAGCGGATCTGGGATATGCAGCAGGTTGACATGCTTCTCCATTTTCTGTTCCGTGAGACATATGGGTGCGACCACGTTTCCTTCTTTCTTTGTCGCGTTGTCATATCTCTTCTCCACACTATAAATGTTGATCGAGATATCGTTCAACCGTTCAAACTTTTTAATTTGGTTTATGCACATTGGAAATCCAATGTCCTGCATATTCAAAACCGATGTATAGTGTGGATACGAAGATTGACGATCTGCGTGTTTGTCGGCTGGACATAACGCTGTAACCACTGCCCATGCGAAACATGCATTGTCCATAGATTGCACGTTAATTATAGCCCGCTTCATTTTTATTTCGCGCGGTAACTCGATATGACAATGTAATGGATTGTATTTGTTAACATTAACAGTCAGATCGAGTATGCGCGAGAGTGCCCACCCGCTATCTCGTTCCTGAAATTCTTCCATGGACCCTAAGGTGGGTTCGATAATACGCATCGCGAACCAATTGTCTAGATCGGATGTGAAAAAAGTTCAACGTTCCTCGTATTAATGCTCTTGTTCGCGCGTTTATCACCTGCCACAAATTCACCGTTGAACACAGTATTCACTTTTATGCTACCGTGTCTCTTCATAACGCTTCGCACATGCTCGAGCACGATATTCTTCACATCTTGGAGAAATCGAAGAGGGTCGATATAGTCTGTATTTACAATCGCCCCGGTTGATATGCGACTATTGAACGCTGTATCGATTTCTCGCCAAACAAGTGTCGAATGTCCGGCTCCTGCGTATACGAAACGTCTGCGCAAAGTATTTTTTAAACCCTCGAGTTGCGCTATACGAGCAACCATCGAGTGCGCTGAACCAACCGATAGTCGCGGTTGTTTGGCTCGGCTATGCTGTTCCAACGACTCGAGACACTCGTCGCACTTTTGTTCCCATGCGAGGTATTCGTCTAGCGAGCCTAATCGAGCGGCCTGATTCTGCAGCTCACGTTTTACGGTTGATAATGATGATAAAGATGATAATGGTGATTCTGCCATTTTTCTAGCAAACGTTGTAAACACACTGTAACTGCACGCTCTGCTCTTCTTCGACTAAACTATAGAATATTCTGCTTTGAACATTTTATAGCCCTTAACTCTTTCAAAAATGCATGCCATTATCAAAATTCGGGAAACTTCCTCGACGAACTATTAAACACATTTCTGAGTCTTAAACTCATATCAACTCGTTGTGGACTTTGCCTAATTGCATGCCTTTCTTTATCTGATACAATAATAGACTTATAGACCTATGATTGGTATCAGCAGTCTGGTGTCCACTCTGTTTGTCTTCGACTAAACTATAGAATGTTCTGATTTGAACTTTTTTATAGCTCTTCTGTCTTCCACATGCGCACACACACGCACACACACACACACATATCGTTATTACATTCTTCCTGCTTCTTTTTATCTTGTATAGTATATTGGATGAAGTTTTTGTACCGTATATAAGAATTCTGTTTTAAATATGTCATATTAGTGCATACATATTGGACACAGATTGCATGGTCTTATTTGGTAGACGGGGTTTCTACAGTTTGAACAAAATACACCATCAATCACATCGTGTCTTTCGGTGATGTGTTTGCGCACTGCAAATATTTCTGTAACTGTATCGCGAACGCCATCAACAAAACATGATGTGCAGAACCGTAAATTGTCTCCAGAATTATATGAAAAATAAATGCAACACACTTTTGTTTGGCCGCTCAAAGTATTAATTTCTGAAACTTCCAATTTCTTCACTTTTTCATTCACTAATTGATTACTATTGTCACTATCATAATTACTATCATCCGTGAGTATATGATTTATATCTTCTTCGTCTTCTATTTCTTCGTTTTCTATTTCTTCGTCTTCTATTTCTTCATGCTCTATGTTTTCACGATCCATACTGAAAGAGCTCTGACTGGTAAATATACACAAAATTAAATCTATATGCTTCACTTTTGCCACTCTTCTCGTTATTATTTGAAGAATCAGCGACGACACCTTCTCAATACTTTCTTCGATATTACTCAAACACGGAACATAATAAGCGACTGATGCTGGAGGGGCGTGGGTAGCATCTTCGCTCGTTCACTTCTATAGTCCCTCATTTTAAACAATCTTCGATAGATAACTCCCGGAAAAACCTAGCCAAAAATAGTCATATCTTTACATGATGCAGCACTAAGTGCTTCACAGGATGCACCCTATGATAAGATATGCATACCTTTCTTTATCTGATACCACAATAATACTTGCAGACCTACGATTTGGTATCGGCAGTCTGGGAGGTCAACGACTGACAAAAATATTTTGGTCAAAATGTGATATTGTAATACATAGCACCATTATATTGCAGCGTTTACGAATTGTAATAAAAGTATAAATATTGTGCATTTCTGTATTGCGCATTATTTTCTGTTGTATTGCGATGCGCTATGACTGGTATTATTTCATCGATGTATGACTGTTTAATTGACTGGTTACAACGCTGTGCCAGAGAATTAATATCTAGTTTCAGAAGATATATTAATATGTGCATTAGAAATTTTGAGAACCCTGAAGAAAACGGTGGAGGGGATAGCATGGTAACATTGGCGGAGGAAACTCGGAGGGAAACTAGCCTGTGTTGAAGAAGCTTCAGCATCAGTCGCTCTGCAAAGACACGATTCAACAGTCGCTCTGTCAAAAGACAAGGTTCGATAGTAACTTCCACATACAGTAAACCAAAATGTCCGATGTCGAAGTGAACGCTGTACAAGCAAATTATTACACGCCTGTTCAACATGTGGATGAGGATGAGGATCACCCCAGGTGGAAACAAAACGACGAGTGTTTCGAGGAGCCACCATGCAAAATGGAACGTAAGAAGTGAGTATCAATGTGAATTTGGTTGGTACTTTGTGCGCACTTTTCCGACTGAATTTTTAAATGTATATAACATTTACATTGTAATTTTATAGCATTCCTGAACCATGTCATGCTACTCGCATCCTGGGGCGCAGATATGTTTTGACTGCAACGTCTCATAAGTATTTGGAAATTGGACTCAATGTACAATATCGACCCTACCCCGTTGTGGAAATAGTTCTCGGCGACAATCGCGGTAATGAACTAATATTACATACAGACACTTGGGGAAAACTGATGGAAAATCGTGGTGCTGTACGGCGACTTCTGGAAGCGCGCAATCCATCGTACTTTCCGCTACGGATTCGAAATTTAGGAGTGAAATTGTTCGAGCTAAATGGTTCAAAAATTGTAAAATTAATGCAATCTTCTAAGAGTTTGTATCTGAGTCCTGCTACAATGAACAAGTTATTTACTTATGAATATTGCATTGATCATATATATACGCAGTTGTCTGAACAGTCGTATCTGGTTAGATCAAGAATTCTAACTTTTGTAAAAGATCTTCGAGAAAAAAAATTACCGAAATGTGCAATGTGGTAAAAACGATACGTGAAAGCACTGCCTTTGACAGTGAGTCACTTATTGATTGCGAGCTGCTGGCATGTGCTTCGAAAGATATCTTGCACGAAGCTATGAACTGTTTGGTATTCTGAGCTGTTTGGTATTCTGAGAAATAAATTACCTTGTTATATATTATGATACATCTTTTTTACTTTAGACCAGATCCTTTCTTCCAACTTCCCCTTATCCCCTTTCTTAGGATTTTATATGGTAATTATGTTAATTACATTGATAAAAATATCTATAGGTGTTTGATAGACGTTCGATAGACGTTCGTGAGACGTTTGTGAGACGTTCGTGAGACGTTCAATAGACGTTCGAGAGACGTTGGAGAGATGTTCGATATGTAACTACTTCGGTCAAAACATACTAGTTATTTTATATAAACACTGTATATAATTTCAGTTCGCTATATATTATTTCAGTTTGATAATTACGAAGGGACATTTAAAACACATTATATGACATTTTTTCTCGTGACGTATGCATGACGTCACGATCACCATCTTGCGTGACGTCCCACCACATTTTTTTCTCGTGACGTATGCGTGACGTCACGGTCGCTATCTTGCGTGACGTCCCACCATGAGTTCCCCTTCCCCGCGCAGCGTCATACCCCGCGCTCTGAGTTCCCCGCTTCCCCGCGCCCCCCTCAGCACTCCTGGGTTAGAACCGGCCTAGCTATTCTACTCATATAGCTATTAAAAAGAACATATGGCGAAAGACGTTTGGCGAAAGATTCAACATAACCTTCAAAAGTATTCAGTTCAGCACAGTCGAAAATGGCAACAGATAAGGTGCATATCCGACACTGCATTCTTTACGAATTCCAACAAGGAAAAAATGTTGCAAGAACGTGCGAATCGATTTGTTCCTTTCTCGGCGAAGGTGTTGTATCGTACGATGTATGCGCATTTTGGTTTAAGCAGTTTTGGTAAAAGCGGTAATTTCAGTCTAATCAACAAACAACGCCCTGGAGGCCCTCCGAAGTGCGATAATGATGATTTAGAACAACTGCTCGCTGAGAATTCGGCACAAACACAAAAAGAACTTGCAGAACAGTTGGGAGTAACGCAGCAAACGATTTCCAAAGGCTTACATGAGATGGGAAAGATCCAGAAAGAAGAAAAATAGGTTCTGCATGAACTCACTGAAACCAACAAAAAACAACGAGTGGCAGCGTGTCTTTCTCTTCTCAATAAGCAGCTTCGAAAATCTTTCTTGTGGAAAATCGTTACGGGCGATGAGAAATGGATACTCTATGACAATCCGAAACGCAGAAAGTCATGGGTAAATCCCGGCAAAACATCAAAATCGGTCGGAAAATCCAATCGCTTCGGAAAGAAGGTTCTTCTCTGCATTTGGTGGGATATCATGGACGTGCTTTATTATGAGTTGTTGGAATCGGGTGAAACAGTTACTGCGGACTGCTACCAACGTCAATCTTAATCTGCTTGAGTCAAGAATTGGAACGAAAACGCCCGTGTACTGGCAAAGGAGAACGTTCAGTGAAATTGTTGCATGACAACGCCAGGCCACACATTGCTTCCAATACAAAAGATACCATAATGAGTCTTGGCTGGGACGTTTTGCAGCACCCGGCGTATTCACTAGATATTGCTCCATCCGATTATCACTTGTTCCGGTCGATGCCACATGCCTTGTCCGATATGCACTTCCAATCAGTGGATGAGATCCGAAAATGGCTTGACGACTTTATCGTGTCCAAAGACGTAACATTTTTCTGAGATGGAATTCATCAGCTGCCTGAAAGATGGCTTAAAGTTATAGAAAGCAACGGCGAATATTTTGATTGAACAATTTAATTTACTTTCTTTTAAAATAAACCTTGAATGTAGCTGAAAAAATTGGATTATTTATTTATACACCTAATATATAGATATTGAAGTATATAACATAATGTATGAAAATATATTGCAAAATTATTTAAATGGAAAAAACTTTGACTCTTTGGAGGCCTTAAAAAACGGCGTCTCTTCGTTCTTCGAATCTAAACCGTGCAGTTTTTATGATCGAGGCATCCGTATGTTGCCAGAACGTTGGGAAAAGATTATAGAAAACGATGGAGAATATATCATTGATTGAATAAAGATTTTTGTTTGCCTAATCACTGTGTGACTTTTACTCACAAACTCCGCACGAACTTTTGCACTCACCCAATAATATATAAGAAATATAATGCGAGAATTCTCCTTTATAAAACATAGAAAAAGTTATTTGTATAATGAATTTATCTTCCTATTCTTCTGTAATATATATATTTTTTTTCGTAAGAGTAAAAAAACATAAATTAGAAAAAAATAACAAGACATAACTAGGCGGGAACACGCAACCTGGCGAGTACCAGCATCACGCACAGTCTGCTGCCTTACGCCGTCATTTCGAAATAACTCTGCAAATGTCAGAATAACGAAGCATACTTAAAATCGCGAAATTTCAATTTGTAATTTCTCCAAAATGCTTGAATGTTGCACCGTCTCCGGCTAATAGTAGATTTTGCTGGACCTATACCACATTTCTGCCAAAGCTCGTCAAAATCAGTAACCGCATGTTTGGAAGCAGCTCTTATGAATCGCGGGCGCGACTATGACAGTACTGATAAGTTTTCCTATTCAGCGCACCGAAATTATTATGAATAACATTATTTTATTATTAATAATAATATTATTTATAATAATAATGTTAATAATAATATACCGCACCGAGAAAATGAAATATTGGGTCTGGGAAAAAGTTCGTGGCGTTTTTCCTGATAGATGGCGTCAATTGCAAATAACTCAGGAAACACAGATCACAGCGACCACCACTAAACGCTCGTTGGAAAGGTGACACTTCGAGTGTTACTTTGAGTAATATAAATACTTTGAGTAGTATAAACATCGAAATTGATGCAGTGGTTGGAAAGTTGTTTGCGTTTGAAAATGGAGGAAAGTAATGAAAAATTGCACTATATTTTGCAATATTATTACGACAAAGGGAAGAACGCTGCGCAGGCTTGTGAAAAAATTTGTGCTGTGTACGGTGAAGGTACTTTATCAAAATCTGCTGCGCGGAAATGGTTCGCTCGCTTTCGTTCTGGTAATTTTGATGTGAAAGATGAGTCACGCTCTGGTCGTCCAATCACTGGAAAAAGCTGATGAAATTCTTGAAAAAGCAAGATAGGCATATCAGCAGTGTCGATATTGGTATGGAGCTAGGCATTGACCACAAAACTGTTTTGAACCAACAAAGCTGGCTACAAAAAGAAGCTCGATGTATGAATTCCTCATGAGTTGAGCGCGGAAAACATGATAGACCGAATTAACATCTGCGATGCGCTGCTGAAACGCAATGAAATCGAGCCATTTCTGAAACGTGTCATAACCTGTAATGAAAAATGGATCACGTACGACAATCGGAAGCGTCAAAGATCGTGGACAAGGGATGGTGAGCCGTCACAAGCGTCCGCGAAACCAGGATTGACGCCGAAAAAGGTGATGCTGTGTGCGTGGTGGGACTGGAAGGGAATCGTCCACCATGAGCTATTCCCAGTTGGTCAGACGATTGATTCTCAACTCTACTGTGGACAACTAGAGAGATTACGCCAGGCAATTGAAAAAAAACGGCCCGAATTGAATAATAAGAACGGTGTTGTCTTCCATCATGACAATGCCCGACCACACACTTCTTTGATGACCCGTCAAAAATTGCGAGAGCTTGGTTGGGAAGTTTTGATGCATCCACCGTATATTCCAGACGTAGCACCCTCTGACTATCACTTGTTCCGATCACTGCAGAACTCTCTCAATGGAATTAAGCTGGTTTCAAAAGAAGCCTGTGAAAATCACTTGATTCAGTTTTTCAACCAGAAACCACAGAAGTTCTTCATCGATGGCATCATGGCTCTACCCGAAAAATGGCGAAACATTGTCGATAATAATGGAGCATATTTGGTTTAAATAAATTCATTTTCACACTATAAGAGAACCAGTTGAATTTTACTAAAGAAACGCCACGAACTTTTTCCCAGACCCAATATATGTGTTGCGAGTTAACCGAGAATCGGTCCACATATGAACGCCGGGATCACCCAGAACTTGGGCGCGAGAGTGATTGCAGATCGAGCCAAATGTAGTCAGCCAAAGGAGAGGACCGATCGTTTCTCTTATTAATGAATTGCTTGATTCCGTTTCAGATACGGTTTATTTTGTTGATGACCAGTTACAGCGATTCGCAAGTCGAATAGTATCGAATACAAATCGTCTCGGAAAGCACCGTTGCCTGATAAGGGCTATATAAACCCATGGGGAAACGGATTTCGCCGTACTTGCGCAGGTAAGTAGTACTCATGGAACAATGAAAAACGCTAAATAGATAGAGTGCGCTTCTCAAGCGTTTTCGAGAAAAAACGCTTCAAAGTTTTGCGCGGTACATAAGTGCTGCTACAGTAGCGCGACCAAGCAGCGGCGGTGGCGGAGCATAATAGGCGAAGCGCTACGGAGCTGCAGGTCGCCTGTTCGTGTCCAGCCTGATTTCCAACCTTTTTTTACTTTGTTTTGCAGTAATAAAGTATTGCAGTTAACCCCTTGGGTACATTTGACGTCTGAGACACGTCATTCACTTTTTTCCCCTAGGAGCGGATGACGTGTTTAAGACGTCAAACCAAAAATTAAACTCTTGGGTACATTTGACGTCTGAGAGACGTCATTCACTTGTTTTCCCTAGGAGCGGATGACGTGTCTAAAACGATATTTGAGGTTAGGCACAATTCTGTTCATTTCATTGTAGCTTGTATCAGTCATAATAGAAGAGGCAATTACAGTATTTCGGTGAACATTATTTGCGATACACTGCCCCATTATGTCAAAAACAAGGAATATATTTTATGATAGTGATAGCGAAAGTGACTTTGAGAAATCTGAAGAAGAATTGTTTAGTGATCCTGAAATTGACAATTACAATGAAATACAAAGCGAAGG